CCGCGTTCACTGGCTAAACTACCTCTAGCCTTTTTCTCCACACTTATTAAATTGCAATAGAAACATATGTCTGGAGAATTACTTGAGCCCTCTGTGGGTGTGTCTACACCGCAATTAAACACCCCTGGCTGGCCCATGTCAGCTGACTTGGGCTCCTGAGGCTTGTGCTACACAGCTGTAAAATTGTGGTATAGGGACCATGCCAGGGGGGAGGGATCCAGAGCCTTAGCTCCAGACAGAGCCCAAACATCGACACTGCAGTTTTATAGCCCCACAGGCTGAGCCCCACAAGCCCAAGTCAGCTAACATGCGCTAGCCGTGGGTGTTTAATTGCAGTGTAGACATAGCCTGTGTCTGTCTAGTCACAACATGCTGGGGGAAATCATTCTGCTGAAGATTTCTATTTACACTAGACATAATCCTGAGCCACAGCATTTGGATCTGGATCCAAATGTTTCCAAAGCTCAGGTGTTTGAATCTAAAGTATAAGTTTGGCACACTGCAAAGGCAGTAGAATGACACAAAATTTTGTTTGGTTGGGTTTTTGATTTAGTTCAATTTCTAATTTACACAAATAAAATGTGTGGGTCTTTTGGGCTTACTAGTACATACTGTAATGCTCATTATATTTTCCTGTCTCTCTAACTCTATTTTCTAATGAATACATTGTATTGTTCTATGAATGTCTACCTTCTTGTGTTTCCCTGCAATACTCTATCAGCTATTGCGTTGCTATAGTTCTTCAAGAAAAGTGTCTGTCCACTCACATTTCAAGGAAATAAGAACTGCAAGAAAAGTACAGGACACAATTTAATTTTATCAGACACCATCCCACAGTTGTTTTGTTTGTGGTACAATAATTATATAATGTATGATTCTTTATAGGATTATTGCTGGTCAACATCCTTTTTCTAAAATGCTACCAAACATTTCTTAGTAGCTCCTTATTAGATTACAGGTAGGGCGTTCAGAAATTTAAGAGAAGTCCTTCATCCACTGTAGTTTTACAATACTCAGCTTGCCACCAAAAAAACACAACAAAAACTCCTGTGGGCAGGGAAGTTATCGTCAAGCCCTGAGTAGTGTTTCATCCATGATGGAAGCCAGTGCTAACTCTCATGACCAGAATTTCCCAAGCTTTGGGGTAAATTCCCTCCTTTTGGGTTTGGAAAGGGACAGAACCCAGCACACAATGGCCTCCACCAGAGTCACAGCCTGAGTGTCTGAATAGGGGGCGGTATGAAACACTGAGAGGCTGAGGAGGGTTTAAAGTAGACGAGGTGGAAAAGGTGTATCCCCCCACCCCGACAAATAATTGAAAGCGGTAATTTTATGGCCAAATTCTTCATTTTGGAAATACAACCATGATGCCTCCTGTGTGTCATAGTTTGATTGCCGCATGCCCCATGGTCACACTACATCTCCCAGCATGTGCTATGGCCTCCCCTCTTGCTGAGCCACAGTGGTGCTTTATGGGAGTCCCTGGCCCACAGTATGCATAATGTAACCAAGCTAGGAAAACAGCCCATGGAGGAGGGAACGAGACAGCTCAATGACATCACCCCTGGGGCACCAGTGCAGAATCTTGAAATTGAAAATGTTCCATTTTCATGGCCCCCCAACCTCCAAATAGTTTTGTCAAAAATCCAATTTTCTGTTGAAAAAAATAATTTTTGATTAAAAATATCCACCCTGCCCTAAAGACTGTTGCCCTTCCCCATCCAGCTCCCTGCTTGTCATCCTCCTTGCTCTCCACCCTTACTTCACCCTGACCCTAGCTCCTCTTCAACACTCCCCCATCCCACCTCCTCCCACAGACCCCATCTGCCCCCCAACCTCCCTGCTCTCCACCCTGACCCTAGCTCCTCTTCAACACTCCCCCATCCCATCTCCTCCCACAGCCCCCAATCTCCCTGCTCTCCACCCTGACCCTAGCTCCTCTTCAAAACTCCCCCATCCCACCTCCTCCCCCATCCCAACCTCCCTGCTCTCCACCCTGACCCTAGCTCCTCTTCAAAACTCCCCCATCCCACCTCCTCCCACAGCCCCCAACCTCCCTGCTCTCCACCCTGACCTAGCTCCTCTTCAACACTCCCCCATCCCACCTCCTCCCACAGCCCCCAACCTCCCTGCTCTCCACCCTGACCTAGCTCCTCTTCAACACTCCCCCATCCCACCTCCTCCCACAGCCCCCAACCTCCCTGCTCTCCACCCTGACCTAGCTCCTCTTCAACACTCCCCCATCCCACCTCATCCCACAGCCCCCAACCTCCCTGCTCTCCACCCTGACCCTAGCTCCTCTTCAACACTCCCCCATCCCACCTCCTCCCACAGCCCCCAACCTCCCTGCTCTCCACCCTGACCTAGCTCCTCTTCAACACTCCCCCATCCCACCTCCTCCCACAGCCCCCAACCTCCCTGCTCTCCACCCTGACCCTAGCTCCTCTTCAACACTCCCCCATCCCACCTCCTCCCACAGCCCCCAACCTCCCTGCTCTCCACCCTGACCCTAGCTCCTCTTCAAAACTCCCCCATCCCACCTCCTCCTCCATCCCAACCTCCCTGCTCTCCACCCTGACCCTCGCTCCTCTTCAAAACTCCCCCATCCCACCTCCTCCCCTTTCCAACCTCCCTGCTCTCCACCCTGACCTAGCTCCTCTTCAACACTCCCCCATCCCACCTCCTCCCACAGCCCCCAACCTCCCTGCTCTCCACCCTGACCCTAGCTCCTCTTCAACACTCCCCCATCCCACCTCCTCCCACAGCCCCCAACCTCCCTGCTCTCCACCCTGACCCTAGCTCCTCTTCAAAACTCCCCCATCCCACCTCCTCCTCCATCCCAACCTCCCTGCTCTCCACCGTGACCCTCGCTCCTCTTCAAAACTCCCCCATCCCACCTCCTCCCCTTTCCAACCTCCCTGCTCTCCACCCTGACCTAGCTCCTCTTCAACACTCCCCCATCCCACCTCCTCCCACAGCCCCCAACCTCCCTGCTCTCCACCCTGACCCTCGCCCTCTTCAAAACTCCCCCATCCCACCTCCTCCCCTTTCCAACCTCCCTGCTCTCCACCCTGACCCTAGCTCCTCTTCAACACTCCCCCATCCCACCTCCTCCCACAGCCCCCAACCTCCCTGCTCTCCACCCTGACCCTAGCTCCTCTTCAACACTCCCCCATCCCACCTCCTCCCACAGCCCCCAACCTCCCTGCTCTCCACCCTGACCCTAGCTCCTCTTCAACACTCCCCCATCCCACCTCCTCCCACAGCCCCCAACCTCCCTGCTCTCCACCCTGACCTAGCTCCTCTTCAACACTCCCCCATCCCACCTCCTCCCACAGCCCCCAACCTCCCTGCTCTCCACCCTGACCCTAGCTCCTCTTCAACACTCCCCCATCCCACCTCCTCCCCTTTCCAACCTCCCTGCTCTCCACCCTGACCTAGCTCCTCTTCAACACTCCCCCATCCCACCTCCTCCCACACCCCCAACCTCCCTGCTCTCCACCCTGACCCTCGCTCCTCTTCAAAACTCCCCCATCCCACCTCCTCCCCTTTCCAACCTCCCTGCTCTCCACCCTGACCCTAGCTCCTCTTCAACACTCCCCCATCCCACCTCCTCCCACAGCCCCCAACCTCCCTGCTCTCCACCCTGACCCTAGCTCCTCTTCAACACTCCCCCATCCCACCTCCTCCCACAGCCCCCAACCTCCCTGCTCTCCACCCTGACCCTAGCTCCTCTTCAACACTCCCCCATCCCACCTCCTCCCCTTTCCAACCTCCCTGCTCTCCACCCTGACCCTAGCTCCTCTTCAACACTCCCCCATCCCACCTCCTCCCACAGCCCCCAACCTCCCTGCTCTCCACCCTGACCCTAGCTCCTCTTCAACACTCCCCCATCCCACCTCCTCCCCTTTCCAACCTCCCTGCTCTCCACCCTGACCTAGCTCCTCTTCAACACTCCCCCATCCCACCTCCTCCCACAGCCCCCAACCTCCCTGCTCTCCACCCTGACCCTCGCCCTCTTCAAAACTCCCCCATCCCACCTCCTCCCCTTTCCAACCTCCCTGCTCTCCACCCTGACCCTAGCTCCTCTTCAACACTCCCCCATCCCACCTCCTCCCACAGCCCCCAACCTCCCTGCTCTCCACCCTGACCCTAGCTCCTCTTCAACACTCCCCCATCCCACCTCCTCCCACAGCCCCCAACCTCCCTGCTCTCCACCCTGACCTAGCTCCTCTTCAACACTCCCCCATCCCACCTCCTCCCACAGCCCCCAACCTCCCTGCTCTCCACCCTGACCCTAGCTCCTCTTCAACACTCCCCCATCCCACCTCCTCCCACAGCCCCCAACCTCCCTGCTCTCCACCCTGACCCTAGCTCCTCTTCAACACTCCCCCATCCCACCTCCTCCCCTTTCCAACCTCCCTGCTCTCCACCCTACCTAGCTCCTCTTCAACACTCCCCCATCCCACCTCCTCCCACGCCCCCAACCTCCCTGCTCTCCACCCTGACCCTAGCTCCTCTTCAAAACTCCCCCATCCCACCTCCTCCTCCATCCCAACCTCCCTGCTCTCCACCCTGACCCTCGCTCCTCTTCAACACTCCCCCATCCCACCTCCTCCCACAGCCCCCAACCTCCCTGCTCTCCACCCTGACCCTAGCTCCTCTTCAACACTCCCCCATCCCACCTCCTCCCACAGCCCCCAACCTCCCTGCTCTCCACCCTGACCTAGCTCCTCTTCAACACTCCCCCATCCCACCTCCTCCCACAGCCCCCAACCTCCCTGCTCTCCACCCTGACCCTCGCTCCTCTTCAACACTCCCCCATCCCACCTCCTCCCACAGCCCCCAATCTCCCTGCTCTCCACCCTTACTTCAACTCCCCACCTCCCCCCCTGTAGCTGGGATTGGGTCAGAGCCCTCCCTGCCCAGCCGGCGCCTGCGCAGTGCCGCGGGAATCTGCCTGCGCGCGCGCTCTCGCTCTCTCTCTCTCTCTCTCCTCCCCCGCCCCGGCCCAGATTCACATCCGGGGCTCTGGGCCCGGCTCTGCCCGAGCGGAGGCGCCGTGTGTGTCCCGCCGTCTGAATAAAGTTTTGCCGAGAGCGAGGCTGGGGCCCAGCGCTCCACGGCCGCGCGGCCGGTAAGTGCGAGCTGCGGCCTTTCCCGCTGGGGGCGGGAGGTTCCGTCCCCTTCCCCCGCTCTCACCGCCCGGGGCTCCTGCAGCGGCTCCCTGACCGCACTGGGACCGGCCCCTGGAGAACAGGGTGCCCCCTGGAGCGGGCTGGGCTGGGCTGGCTTGTCCCGTTGAGAGGGAGAATGGGCGGGGGGCTGAGGAGGGCTGGTCCCGGGTGGGGGCCTGGGTTGGAGGTAGGTGAGGCTGGGGAGCGGGGCGGGCGGCGGGGAGGGCTGAGGAGGGGTCTGGGGGTCGGTGGACGTTGAGGGAGGCTGGGCGTGGCTGGGGGAGGGGGGCGTCGTGGGTCCTGTGATTCCGACGTCTTTTCTCCCGCAGCCTGTGGAGGGACGGGGCGTCCCTGCTCGGCAGGTTTGCTCGAGGCTTCGCCGCGAGTGAGGCGCTGCAGACTGGCTTCACAGCACCGGGGGTGGGGGCGGAAACCCAAGGGGCTCTGAGGCCCGTAGGAAAGATGACCCCCGTCTCAGCGGGGTACCCACAGAAACAACGAGGAGTCCGGTGGCACCTTGCAGATTTCTTTGGGCACAAGCTTTCGTGGGTAAAAGACCCTCACTTCTTCAGATGCACGTGGAGGAGAAGTGGGCTTTTTACCCACGAAAGCTTATGCCCAAGAAAGATGACAGAGACGCTTCCCTGTGAGGGGAGTGGAAAGAGTGGGGCTGTTTAGTTTAGTGAGGAGACTTCAGATGAGACGTGAGAGGTGAGTAAAGTACTGATCAGTTGTGCCTGTTTACACTTTCTGGTAATGCAAATGTAAGGGGGCGGGCCATTCAGTGAAATTGCAGATCAGCTCACTTAATGCTGATAACTGGAAATATGTTTAATGTGTTCATCCCTGTGGAACTCCTTGCCTCAAATTGTTGAAGTGTAGGATTTAACAGGATTTTAAAAAGATGAGGAACTAATAAGAACAATCCTAGTTACATTATCTACAACGTAAACAAGGCTGTAAACCCTCATGATTTGTGGCATACATTTGTGAAGAGGTGGTTATTCCGTAATTGTAAGGATATTCCATTAATTATTCACTATGGCAGTGGTTCTCAACCTGTGGTGTCCACAGACTATGTCTAAGGCAGTGGTGGTCCCCCAACATTTTCAGGTCATGCTCTCCCTTATCCCTAATTACAGTTCCTCCCCCCAGGCTGGGAGCAGGACCACGGGTGGGGTGGGATGGGGGCATGGACACGGTAAGGGTGCCGAGGCTGGGAGCGGCGCCATGGGGCTGGCCCATGCCTCATCTGCACCCCTGTGAACGTTCCTCCACGCTCCACAGTTTGGAGACCTCTGGTCTAAAGGGTCCATGAAAGACTCAGATTGAAAACTCACTGAACAAAATTCTACTCTATATATAGACAATAGATTTCCAATGGGGTCCACAGCTTCATTGGAAAATTTTTAGGGGTCTGCAAATAAAAAAAGGTTGAGAACCACTGTACTATGGGATTTCTTGTACCTTCATGCAGTACAGACCATGGCCTGATACAGGGTATTGGATTAGATGGACTAATCTGATCCATTAAGGCAGGGGTGGGCAAACTTTTTGGCCCGAAGACCACATTTGGGAATTTAAATGGTATGGTGGGCCATGAATGCTCACAAAATTGGGGTTTGGGTGCGGGGGGAGGTGAGGACTCTGGCTGGGGGTGCAGGCTCCAGGGTGGGGCCAGAAATGAGGAGTTCATGGTGCAGAGGGGACTCCGGGTTGGGGTGCGGGATGGGGTGCAGGCTCTGGCTGGGGGTGTAGGCTCTGGTGTGGGGCTGGGGATGAGAGGTTTGGGGTGCAGGAGGATGCTCTGGGCTGGGATTGAGGGGGGCAGGCGGGGGATCAGTGCTGGGGCAGGGGGTTGGAGCATGGGGAGAGGCTCGGGGCGCGGGATCCGAGCGGCACTTAACTCAAGCGGCTACTGGAAGCAGTGGCATGTCCCTTCTCCAGTTCCTACACAGATGCGGGTCCAGGTGACTCTGCACGCTGCCCCGTCCGCAGGCACCGCCCCTGCAGCTCCCATTGAAGCACCGGAAGGGGGCGTGCCGCTGGAGTGCGTGGGAGCCGGAGCGGGGCCATGCCAGAGTGGGGCAAGCTCCAGACCCTGGTCCCTAGCAGGAACTTGCAAGCTGTCTTAAAACAGCTCAGGCCTGCGGGCTGTAGGTTGTCCACCACTGCATTAAGGCAATTCCTGTGTTTCCATGGCTTGTGGTCTGATTAGGGGGACATAATAGAGGAAGCATGGTCTTGTGGTTAAAACACAAGACTGGAATCAAGTGACCTGTGGGTTTTTTCCATTTCTGTGACTTCCTATGTGTACTTGGGCAAACTATTTAACCTCTTTATGTTTAATTTTTCTCTTCTGTAAAGTGGGGATAGTACTTCCCTGCCTTCCAGAGACATAATTCACTAATGTTTGTATAGTGCATTATGGTTCTTTAATGGAAGGTGCTACGAAATTGTAAAGATTATACTTAATGAATAACTTGGAGATCGGATCCAATATAATGAGATATCCAGGGAATAACTTGCAACGTTTGTATTATTGTGCTATACTTCCATGTTGTCTTGTTTATAGCTGCAAAATTCAGTTGTAGATACCATGTCATGCTGCTCTCCTTTCACTGTAATAGAGCAACTTACTTTAAACCCCAAATATTCAGCTATGGTGGTCAGCACTTTTTTTTTAAGAAGGTTTATTCAATGCACACTTTTCCCAGCTGCAGTAATGCTTAGGAAGCCTGATGTTCATGAGTACCATAACTTTGTCAGATTCTGAATCTTGGTTTTGGTTGTGTTCAACCTCATTTCCCCCCTTCCCTCTATCTACATTTTGCTGCCATTTTCATCAAAAGCTGCTATATTTCTCACTAGTCAGCAAACAATGGTGCTACAAGGTGATGGAAAAGCTAGTAACTTCAGTAAAGGAGTTTTAGTATAATTTTGAAAACATTAAAATGTAGGTCTTAGATTAAAATAAACTTTATGTAGTTGAATAAATATGCTGCTTGATTTCTTAATTTGATCCCCACAGTAAGACAGTAGTGGTTCCACGCTTACCCTCACTTGAATCAAACTTTGCTGACTAAGCCTTGAAATTACTGTTAATTGCCTCAAGGCATTTATTTTTTAAAAAACATCTGCCCAGTGGTTTGCCTAACTTAGTGAAACCAGCATATTTTGCTTCCCGATATGGAGGATATATTATAGAGGGGAGAGGAAATTTTGAAAGAAAACTTTTTTCAATGAAAGCAAAGGAGACACAAGATAAATAAAGTAAAGATGATTAAAAAATGAATGGGGGAAGGATAAAGTAACGTCTTATACTTTCCCTCTTCTCAGGGGAATTTTAGAACTATGAGGAATGCAAAGGAAGGATGGGATGCATTGAGAGAATGTCATCAGTGGGACTTGGATTGAATTGTTTCTCAGATATTTTTAGTTACTGAAGTTAATACATTTGAAGACTACACACTACAGTGTTGAATAACTTCCTTGCCCTCCTGAATTTTAACCCATGGCTGAACCCGAAGGAGCTCAAGCTTACAGACCATATTTTTCTTTGTTTCCTTATTTTTGCTATGAAGTCAGACTTGTTTTGATGACCTGCTTTATAATCTTTATATTGATAGAGTACTTATCTTAATGCCTAGTATTGTTCTCATCTCTCAATGCAGAATGCAAATAATGGTTTATTAAATGCACTATACACATTTCACGGCTTCCTTGAACAGTCTTTACAGAGGATTAAATCTTTAATATTAAGAAGCAGTTCTTTGTAACTGGTCCGTTTTTAGATTCTGCTGTTTAGGGAGGTGTTAAGTGAAAGTGCCTTATTGTGTAATAGTTCTTTGTTTTTAAAATAGAGTTAAACCATTGCATAGAGACGTTCTTTGTGACAGTTTATATATAGTGTTCTCCAAAGACCTTTACTCTTCTCCATTCTTGGGAGGTGGGGTGGGAGGAGCATGGGTGATCTGATTTGAAATGCAAAGTAAATGAAAATCTCTTTGAACAAATCAGTATAGCTGTTACAAAGAACACTGTAAAAGACTTTAAAAACTCATCTGCTATTGTCTAAAAATATGTCATCAAAGTGAAGCTCCTGCAGTAAGGGAACAACCTCATACAAATTAATGGTATTTATCCTTATCACATGGAGTATTTGTGCATTTCATGTCTCACATTGATAACTCATTTAAAATTGCTTTCATATTTAATATTTAATTTTAATATTTAATACATTATCTCACGCATCCGTGGTCTTGTAAATTCTTATGCTGCTCTTTGATGGAAACCTCTTCAGCAATGTTCCTGGATCTGTGCAAAAGAGTTTGGCTGGCACATCAATGTACTTGTCCAGAGCAGATTGGCAAGGTGTAGAGCAGTGTCTGCCAAGTTTGTATCCCTGCTGACCTACTACCAAGGATAACTGTCATCCTTGACATAGAGGACCTTTGTCAGACTAGTTGACGCTGATCCACCAATTATGAGGTAGTGTCTCTGAGTTCTGGGTCAGTGGATGTCACAAACTGACAAATCCAGAATGTTTTGCCATTAACTCACAGTGCAAGGGAAAGAAGTATGTTAGTGAATTACTATTGTTAGTCTTCCCTCTAAATTCTGGGGCTTTTGTAAGCTTGTAACAGCTTTAACATAGTGGAATCTTCTGTATATATTTCCTCTTTTTTAAAAGAAATGTTAATGGAAGTTTATAAAATCTCTCCTTTTTGGTGAAACTAGGACTGTCTTTGTGTATAGTTCATTTTCTCATGGACAGCATTTAGCATCTTGTACTGTATTTAGGTTATTCCACATGGACAGCTAAACTTTTGGAAGAGTTCATGCAGCTTCTTAAATGTCTTTTTATTTTAATGTGTTGTAGGGCTTTTGAAAAGGGCTGCCTTGATAGACCTGGAGAATGTCTTCCATTTTTCCGCAGAACAGGTATAGTATGGGCTGTAGTTGAGTAAATTTTTACCATACTTTTTTGGAGAGAGTGCCTGTAGTGATGAGTGTAGTTCATTTTAAATGACCATCTGGTCCTTGGTATCTTAACTGCTAAAACTGCCCACATAGGCATCAGTTTGTATCCTTGTTTTGGTGACTTCCTCAGGTCAATAGTTGTTAATTGCGAGTTGTCCACTTATATAGACATCTGCCATAGTTTACCGAGTTACAGTGGTAGACATGGATATCGTCTAAGAAGATAGTGATTAGAATGACAAATTTATATTTACCTTTGTTGGTAAGCTTCATTTAAAAAAATCTGTTTCAACTGATGTGGGACTGTGGAAATAAAAAAACAAGTATTGAATTGGATTGAAGCTTTTATTTTTAAATCATTCAGTTGTGGATGTTAAAGTTTGTTTTTTAAGATCAAGCTATTTTTTTAATTCTAATATCTATATTTTACCCCCCCCCCCCGCCCCCCCAAATTGCCTTACTTTGGATGTTTGAACAGAAGCAAGCGACTTTAATGGTAATGTGAAATCAGTTGTCACTAAGGTTTATATGGAAATCCAACTGGCTGAAAGTTAAAACCATTTTTCTAAAATCTGCCCAACTTCCAATTTAGTAGTCTGTAAGTAGATTATTTTTTAAATTTAAGGTTATATTGTGTTTGTGAAAGAAGCTGAATTTTTAGTTCTGAAGAGGAAACTTGATATTCACAGAACAAGTATGGCACAAGCAGCGGTAATGCAGACTTCCTTTTAGCCACCCCATGAAAGTTCATCATTCATTACTTGAAATGAAACTGGTTCAACATGGGAAAGTGACTTGTTCTCAGGCCAGGTCGACACTACAGATCTATATCAGTATAACTGTGTCGCTCAGGGGTGTGGATATTTTACACCATGTAGGCAGCACTATGTTGAAAGGAGAGCTTTTCCTATCAACATAGCTACTGCCTCTTGGGGAGGTGGATTAACTATGCTGACAGGAGAAGCTCTCCCTTTGGCATAGTAGTGTCTTCACTAAAGCACTATAGTGGCACAGGTGCAGCATTGTATGTGTAGACAAACCTTCAGTGACCATTCAAACCTTCATATATGTGGTAGAATTACATGGACAACTCTACTACTGTAACCATGACTTCCTAGAAACAAGCAAGGAATTATTTGTCCTCAGGAAAAGACTATAATGAATCCTGTGACATGGGTACAGTGTAAACTAGCAGTGAATATGAAATGAGTTAGCTCGCTAAGGACCCTTGTGAGTTGGCAAAGTGATGCCAGAAAATATATCTGCACAGAGGGCAAACATCAACAGAAGGAATGGACTCTAAACAAAATCAGGTGCAGTGGAAGAACAGTAAAGTTGCCTCATAGTTTCAAAGATCTTGTTAATCAAATTATTTAGTTTCCATCATAGGAAGAGATGTTGTAAAGGGTTCATGTGTTATAGATCAGTATATATACAAATGTATGTATATATTTAATATAAAGAAAACCATCTATGGTACATAATATTTGTGGAACCAATAAAGTTGTTGTGAACTGCAAATGGCGTCTATAGTACACACCTTGTAACAGACATGACTGCGGAGATTCTAACCAAATTTGCAGTTGTGTAGATAATTCTAGTGGGCAGCTTGTTGTTTATATTATGAAACTGAGTCACTAAAAGCCACTTCTTTACTGACAAATACGTTCGTTGTTTCAGATTGGACATGGTGTTCAGGAATCCTTATGTTTCTGTCTTTTGCATTTTTAAAACTACTAAGTAGACTAATTTATCAGGAAGAGGATAGTTCTTCTGCTCCTGCAGCGTAATCTGTTATTCAATTCTTGTCCATTTCGTCCATCTAACAGTTCAGATGGAGAAATGGAGGGTTTATCTCATATCATTATATACCAACCACGTGTCATCTTTTGTTGGTATGTTCTGGCATGTGTCTTGTTCAGGTCCTATTAATCCAGAAGCTTGATTGCCATGATATTGGGCCAGTGGTGTTTGTAATGAAAGGTGTTGGTAAATTTTTTTCACATATAGGTAAGTGTGAGGGGAAGAGAAATGTGTAAAATCAGAGCTGTGAATTGTTTAATTTTGGTGATAGGGCAGTTGATTGTTTCAGCTACCAGTCTCATAGTTGTTTCGTTCAATAGCTGAAAGACTTACAAATAAAATATTTCCTTGACAAATGAAACTTAATCTGCCATTTCTACTGATAACCAACTTTGTTTATATTCAGCTGGCCTGATATGGTACTAAGAAGGGGTTCAAACAATGGACTTGTTCACACAGATTGTTTCCTTCCATTTGCTGCAACTATTAGAAAGAACCCTAGATCTATAAATCAAGTCTGCCCCAAAGTCTAGTTTGGATATAGAGATTACTTCCTCTTGTGTTCAGTAATGAAGCACACACCATGCCACCTACCGACTTACATTATGTTTTTATACACAAGTAAAGAGCCACATGCATTACTTGGGCATGTTAAAGTACTTTTGTATAGTTTAGGCTATCAAAATATTACGCAAACAACCTGACATTCCAAGTACTTCCATAGCTGAGTAGGATAGATGTTTGTGAAATGCATTGTGGATTCTCTAGATTTCAAGGGATTTTATTTGGTCTGTTAAAACCGTTCATGATTGCTTTTTTTAAAATTTGTGAAAAGGAAACTAGACACAATGAACACACTTGGTGGTTGTCTGAGATGAGCTCGTGGGTAATTTATGTATACCTTTCTGAATAAGCACCTGAGCTTAAAGTTCATTTTTGAACGGATGATCTTCTTGGTGAGACAGTGTTGCACTGCAGCCACAACTATTATAACAAATATGTCTTTGCTTTAAAGTATCAGAAAAGCTGACTTTTGAACATGGATGTTCCATTGAAATATTTAAAGCAGCGGTCACTGTGGTACCTCAGAACCTTTTTATAAATGTCTTTTGACCCTATATTATCTGCATAAAACACAAGTGAAGGATCTAAATGTAGGATATGTATGTAGTTTATAAATTTTAACAACCTTTAAAAACTGCAGTTTTTAAGATAAAAACACATTTCATTTTTTTTAGATAAATAGCTTAAAAGATTTTTATGGCACTAATAAAGATCCAAAGAAATAATCAGGATTTGAATCTACGAATAAATAAAACTTTTTTTGCATTCTGTGTTTTGTATTAAAATAAGGCTTTTTAACCTTCATCAGTATTGCTCTCTCTAAATGCCATCTCCCAAGGGATTATAATGAAAGCAAAATTCACAGTACCATTTAACCTGCTGGAAGCTTTATTGATTTTACACTGCTCTTAAATGAAAAGTGGAAGTGAATTTTCCTTAAAGATGACCAGGAAGTCTGATCACATTGTCATTTAGCCAAAATTGATTTGTGGTATATGAAGTTGAGTGTTTTATGGTGTACAAATTATATAGTTCTATTCAGTTAACAGAATCTTCTTAGTTTTAGTTTGTCTATCTAGTTGAAATTCTTAGATCCTCATCTTCTGTGAAGTTAAGAGGGATCTTACAGGCCAGTCTAGTACACTAACCACCTATAAATTGACAATGGGTACTTGCGTCAGTTTTACTACTGTTTTGTGTAGGACTTTGTTTCAAGCACATGTATTGGGTAAAGTTAGGTGTACTTGAAATTCCTGTGTGTAAATGAGTCTTTATTCTGCACTTCATGAGCTGTCCATTGTTCCCTTCCATTTGAGAGAATAAGGGCAAGTCTTCACTAGCAACATTGAATAAGGGCATGTCTTGATTAGCAACATTAACGTGGCTGTGTAGTCGCAGCAAAAAACCCACCTCCACGAGGGGAATAGCTATCAGCGCTGGGAGCTCTGTCTACACTGGCACTTTACAGCGCTGAAACTTGCAGCGCTTAGGGGGGTGTTTTTGAGCACGAAAGTTGCAGCGCTGTAAAGTGCCAGTGTAGACAAGCCCCTAGTATAATGACACCTGCCACTCAAGGTCTCTGAGCCAAATAGTGAAAAGAACTTTCTTCATTTTAAATCTTTCCCTTTAGATGGTGCATACATCCCAAAATGCTGCACAAAGTATGGATCAGTGTAACTGTCTTAACAGACTCTGTTGGTGCATTCCAGTACTGAGAGATGGGAAAAGATAAGACCAGTTTGAAATGGTTTGTTGAACACCATGATCTCATACTCCAATATGAGTTTTGTTCCTCTTTCTGTAATACTGTGTTACGGAAAGGGAGGAGATGGTCTTTCCATTACTCCTATTCTCTTCAGCTGTTCTAAAAAACAACCCAGGATTGTGCATAAGCAATATTTAAAATAAAATATTTTCCCGAATGATATCCTTTAACAATTTATAACAACCTGGCCTTTGTAGACAAGTTCTTGGTATGTTATCCCTTGTAGTCTTTGCCATTCTCCTGAAAAATGGGAATGGATATGGTCATTTTTCTCAAAGACGTACAAGAACCCTAAAAGCCTCATCCTTCTGTTGTGAGATCTCAGGAACACAGCACCTCTTAGTTTTGCAGTCTGAGCACTCCGAGCAGGAAAGCAGACAATATCTACTCCAACATATTTTCCTAAAATCATGTATGTGGAAGACCTAGAAAGCTAACAAAATTCTGTTGATGCTTCCTTCCAATTGAGTGTCTCTTTGCCAAAATTCTGACCACTAAAGACTTGAGACCACTTCTAACCGGAAAGCAGTGTTGGAGCTGCTTAGGTTGGTTGTTATGAAGGACCTCTTTGCCTTTAATGCCCTTTTTTCTAACTTTCATTATGCTTTTAAATGCCACTTGCTTACTGTATCTGTATCAAATGTTTCACAAGGAATATAAAATTGGTAAAATTTCAAATATATATTGCATGTTGTCATGGCACATACCAAATAAAATACTGTTGATTGGTACATGTTCTACACTTCTATTGCGTGACACACAGGACAGCCATATCAGAACGGTTTAGAAGAAAATGTCTAGAAATGTCCTAAAATTAGATAAATGCTAAGGGATCTCTAGAGTATGCATTTGTAGTAATAATCCATTATAAGTGTTTCCTATGGCTATGCTCTGCCACTTGGTAGTATTTGATGTTTTTGGGATAGAAAGATGGCTCTAATTTAAAATTATATAAATAGCAAAACTTGTAATTTGCTTTTTTTTCCCTCTCACAGGGCTACATTTAAGCTTGTGAAAACATGTCAAAAATAGAACATGTTAGGGAATTTTTTTTTTTTTTTGTTCCTTTCACTGATATTCTATGTGGACATCTATAGTGGTTTTATCATTTATTTATTAGAGGTGGTGTGAGCAAGGGCTAAGACCTTAAAATTCCTGAAAGTTTATTTTGTGGGGTTTTGGTCTAGTTTTGCCACCGAGTTGCTTCTTAGCTTTGGGTAAAAATGAGCATGATACTTATTTACCTTACAGAGTGAATTAATGCTTATAAAGAAGCTTGAAGGTGGAGAGTATTAATAAGAGCTAGCAAATGAGTGGTACTCACACCTGGAAAGTAAGTTTTATTTATGACTGAGGAGCTTTTACTTGTCTTTCACTAAACTTGCATTCTTTTTAAGATGATAAACTTAGTCTGTTCTTTTGGCCAAGCTTTGTTCCTTTTCTGTGTTTCCCGTTCCTTGTAACGATGCATATAGGTAAAAGATTTCTGTGTGCATGATCGTTCAGGCAGAAAACAAACTTTTCACTGAAATAACATGAAAGCCATTTGTCACATCCCTCTATTTTGCCTGGAAACTAATTATGAATAATTGCTGTTTAAAATATAGCTCCTGTAACGTAAAGATGGTTATGGAACACAGAATAAATGCTTATCAAAGCCATGTAACCTCTATCTTTCTTTTTTGTTAGTATAGTGTGTATTTAGGAGCAAGTAGTATTTTTAATAGGGTTTCTCCTGACGCTTTTCCCAGTTTTGAATTCCTTATTACTTAGGCACACCTCCCAGAGCTTCCATAGAAACAGATGCTGCATTGAGAGGTAGGCTATCTATGATAGTTTTTCTTCCTGTAGAAAGTCTGTCCAAAGTAGTGTTAACTTCTTTCATCTTTATCATGGCAAAGTGTGTGTTCTTTTATTTAAAAAAAAAAAAAAAAAAACTGAATGTGGCTAGAGTATTGATGTTTGCGTTCTGAATTGCTTACACTTGGTCGATATTCAAAATGGTTGCTTGACGAAGGCTTAAGTTAATGCTTTAGTTGCAGTCATGAAGTATAATAACCAGTGCCGTAAACTGGGACTTAAACAGTTTTTCTGATGCTTAAATGTTAAATATTAGGAAGGTACCAATCGGTATCTCTAGATATTTTTAAAGCTGTCTGACAGCATGGGGTCTGAAATTAAAAAACACCACCAACTCTTTTAGGTAATCTAATTTACTTTTATGGGTTGTAAGAAAAGTAACAAAAGTTCTGATGATTAAAGACAGTGGTATGAGAACAGTGACATCTTGAAAATGAATAATTTTATCTTGTTTAGTACTGAAATACTTAGATGGATTTCTCTTGTATGCGGATTCAGTGTTCCAGAGTATGTTAGATGTTCTTATTCACCAGAGTTTATCAAAAGCTGAGAGACAATATTGTTTGGCAGTCTCTGTAGCAAGAAAGGAAGCATCTTTTGTTATTGACATCCTTTCTCTTAGCTCCGCTCTTGCTTTTCGCCAGCTGCTCATTGTCTGAACTTGCTTGTGTAGTAATCACAAGGGATTTCGTGAGCTCTTATCAGCTAGTTGCCACAGCACATCATTTCCTCATGTCATCTTTACTCCCTGTTTTAAAAAAAGAAAAAAAAAAAAAAAGATTTACACCAGACTCTGGTGGGTATTCAAGAAAACAAAGGCAGTGTGTGAACACTGTTTCTTTATGACATTGTGTATCGAACAGTACTGTTCAAACTAATTCCCTCAAACATTTTATTGTAAAGGTCTTATTTCTGGCACTTATTGTGCAGTCTCTTCACCTTTTTAGGAAGAAAACGTACTGCAAAAGCCTGAAAATCTACTGCTTATAATACCTATCCCAGGAGACTGGGGGAAATGGCTAAGCGTATAAGTGAAGTGGCCAAGGTGATTGATTATGTCTAAAATCTTTTTTTATTAGCTATCCTTGGTTGTTCCTCCGATCTCATCACTGTTAGCTACAAAAAACTGAATGTCCAAGAGCAGCACCCTGGTAGAAGCTTCAGCATGCTCTCCCTTCTCGGCAGTAAGGTGATGGCAGGATAGGATTCTTCAGAACAGTGGCTCTCATCCTTTCCAGACTACTGTACCCCTTTCAGGAGTCTGATTTGTCTTGCGTTCCCCCAAGTTTCACCTCACTTAAAAACTGCTTGCTTACAAAATAAGACATAAAAATTGTCACAGCACACTATTACTGAAAAATTGTTTGTTCTCATTTGACCATATGATTATAAAATAAATCAATTGGAACATAAATATTATACTTATATTTCAGTATATAGAGCAGTATAAACAAATCATTGGCTGTATAAAATTTTAGTTTGTACTGACTTCACTAGTGCTTTTTATGTAGCATGTTGTAAAACTAGGCAAATATCTAAATGAGTTGATGTACCCTCTGGAAAACCTCTGCATACCCCCGGTTGAGAACCACTGCTCCAGCATATTGCCCTTGGAACTTGCTGGTTACCCATATCCCTCAATTTGTCTTTATCTAGCTTTTGGTGAGTAGAAGTAGTTCTTCTGTTTGTAGTCTAGTAAACTTTTTACCTATTAAGCAAATAAATTTTTTACGTGTTTTTTACCTACGCCATATCTACACTAAACTGCATATTATAAAAAGCTAACTTGGAAAGCTTTGCATTAAAGTCCTATTAAACCAGCCAATGTCAGGAAATCCAAAGTTACAGGAGATGGAGAAGAGTACCTTCCATCTCTTGGAAACTACCCTGGCCTCCCTCGAGCTAGCACTGATAGTCTGAAAGGAGTCCTACAGAATTTTCCTTCAGTTAGAAGAATGGTAGTTATGATGTGGAACTTCAGTGTTCTTTTAAAAAATTAGATCTAAAACCAAAGATAGAAATAATCACTCTTCCTATTTAATATCTGAATTGTTTTCAGCTCTGCCTTCCTCTTCCCTCCCACCAAAAAACCCCAAAACAAAACATAGTGGCTAACTACTTGCTGTTTTTTGTTTTTTTTTGTTTTAAACAGGACTAAATTAGAAGAATCGTCCCTTTTGATTTATAAGTGACATCTATTCAATCAGGTGTTGTCTTCCAAGAAATAATACAGTTGGTCAGTTGCTTCTTGTAGACATTGACATTTATTTATAGAAAGGTTTTCTGAAGACTTGTGTCAAATGACGTCAATGGCCAGTTTGTTCTCTTTTACTAGCCCAGCTGTAAAGCGTTTGTTGGGCTGGAAACAAGGAGATGAAGAGGAAAAATGGGCAGAAAAGGCAGTTGATGCTTTGGTAAAAAAGTTGAAAAAGAAAAAGGGTGCTATGGAAGAATTAGAAAAAGCCTTGAGCAGTCCCGGACAGCCCAGCAAGTGTGTTACTATTCCTCGTTCTTTAGATGGGAGACTTCAAGTTTCCCACAGAAAAGGCCTGCCCCATGTTATATACTGTCGTGTCTGGCGTTGGCCTGATCTACAGAGTCATCATGAGTTGAAGCCATTGGACGTTTGTGAATTTCCATTTGGATCTAAACAGAAGGAAGTTTGTATTAATCCATACCACTACAAAAGGGTGGAGAGCCCAGGTAAGTTTGAGCATCGCTGTCTATAAATCTGAACAAATTGCCCACAGACAGTGTTGCCTTGCCAGTTAAATTGTCAGGGGAAGGGGTGGGGTGGAGTATAACATTCTGGTTAGAATAGATACAGTTTTCCTGGTAAAAACCTTACAACTACAGTTTACTGTGTAGCATATGATCTATGGAAGGGATTTCTAAATCCTGGTTCCGATAGTCAATCACAAAGTCATCATTGACTTTATTATGACCAGTATTTGGCTCTAAATGCAAAAGTAGTCAACTGAAGACTTCATATTCTTTGAGAAATTTAGCTATAAACCTCAGAATTCTTATTAGTAGGTCAGTATGTTTTTTTAATCACTGGGTGTTCTATCAGTCACAGTGGGCATGACACAGGAAGAAGAGATGTGGAGAGACTGGTGCTCCCCAGTCAAGTTCTAGACAACAAGTGATTGTGGGAGGGCAGACTAGGAATGATAGGTACAGCCATGTTCCTGGTACAAGGTTCCAAAAGGTAAGCATGGTAGTATGTAAAAGCATGGGTCCATGGGAGACATTGAGGAAAGTAGAGTTGAAGTTGGGAATGGGAAAAGTCAGTCTTGTAATTTCTGGGAAGTATGTTTAGCAGGGGAATCCGCTTTCCACTAGAGTGGGCATAGGAATATGTAATGCAAGGTTAAAGTGGAGAATTTGCACACACAAGTCAGGAATTTGTAAGTTACTGTTCTCCCACTATCTCAGCAATGGTGCTGGTAGGAAGGTGTATATTTGAAAGCGTGTGTACACAATCCAAAATAACATATATCAGATGTGTACTTAGATTGCTAATGTTGTTGTGGAAACATTGACTTTTGGATTTCCTTACTTGAGTTTAGAGTTCAATGTATTAATGTAGCTTTTTGCACTTAATGGTATGTTAGGAGGACACTAATCCTTTAAATTTATTAGTACTTTCCACTTAGTATGCACGCTCTGCACAAAAGGTTCACTAAACTGGTAACAAATGACTATTTTTCATGCTGTGAAGTATAAATTAAGTCTGGCAAGAAACGGAGCAGAAGTGTAAAATAGTTTTACAAAGTGTATGTATTTTTTAAATCAACAAATTGTAAGAAGCACTTAAATCTTGTAACACCTTTTTCTTGCTTCTCCTGAGCTGATGATGGGAATTTTTATTTTTATTTATTTATTTTGGTGGTTAGTGAATAGTTTGCGCTATTTTATGCTGTTCGTTCTAGCTATATTTTTAACAATTTTGTTTTGTCTGATTGTTTTTTGTTTTTTGTTTTTTTTTTTAGTTCTACCTCCAGTGTTAGTGCCTAGACATAGTGAATTCAATCCACAGCACAGCCTTCTTGTTCAGTTCAGGAACCTAAGCCACAATGAACCGCACATGCCACAAAATGCTACATTTCCAGATTCTTTCCAGCAACCCAACAGCACTCCATTTTCCATTTCACCAAACAGCCCCTACCCACCTTCTCCAGTGAGCAGCACTTACCCAAGTTCCCCTGCCAGTTCTGGACCATCTAGTCCATTTCAGCTACCAGGTGAGAACAGTCTATATGCGAACTCTGCTGAGAAATTAAAATATGCTTGTAGAGTAATACCAAAAGCTATTGCAATTCCCTTTTGCCTCTCTGTTTGTTTCTGGTATCAATTGATATTGGCTTAATATCAACCAATTCTGGTACTATGTTAATCATTCATTACTACTTTTCCTTAGTCTTTGATATGGATCAGAACGAGCTCTTCTGTGAATTATTTGTTATGGTTTTTATTTTTCAAATACCATCTGACTTGTGGCTAGGATATGGAAAAATGGGGTTAATAAATGAATTCACTGTTTTTAAATATGAGATGCAAAGCAGAGAGGAAGTATCTTAATATGTAACAGTCCTCTTTTAAAACAGAAGGAATTTGACATGAACAAATTCTGAGTTCACAGAGGGCATAGTTTATATTAAATATCATCCAGTAGTATGGAATGGAAGTGTCTTATAAGACCTCAAATACTGCAGCAATGAGTTGTGCTGAAGAGTATTGACTTGGGACTCTTAATAAATACTCTTAATAAATCTAACTAAGCGTGTGTATTTACTCATCACGCTAATAACCAAGCACCCGACAACATTTAAGTGTGGCCTAGCTGAGTGAGCAAAGCAAGGCCTTACGCTCCGCTTGATGGCATCTGTCTGTCAGTCTTCATTTATAGTTTTAACTTGTGCGTGTTTTTTTCTTATTTGAAGCTGATACTCCACCTCCTGCATATATGCCCCCCGAAGATCAGATGGGGCAGGATAATTCACAGTCTATGGACACAAGCAACATTATGATTCCTCAAATTATGCCAAATATAGCCAGCAGAGGTAAGATAGTATGGTATATAATTAATCTTTAGTTGGTTTATTTCATGCTGAGAGCCAGATTCTGTGGTAACTTAATTGGAGTAATTGATATGGTGTTAAGTAGATATAACTTGCAAATGAAAATGGAAGAAGTCCAGGGTTGTACCAGACGGAGCAGCCACCAGGAAGAGAATGCAAGATGAAATAACCTCTATCTAGTTCATTTTTACAGCGTTTTGTTGATTGGCTTGTTTTTAAACCACTTAAGAAGAAAATAACAAAAAAACCTCCCCTTCTTCTTGAATTGAGCTTCTTTTAATTACTAAGGGTATGATTTCCGCCCCCTGAATTGTTCAGACCCTGTCTTTTACCTTTGATTGCACATGGAGTTGTACTTGCTCGGCATCCCTGAAGATCAGGCCTCAACATGTCAATTATAAATAAGTTTATACAGAAAAACTTTCTCTTTGTGTGGCAGCACTTATTGTATAATTTTCCACTTTGTTTACATGAGCCTTTCACATAAGGCTCAGGAAGAGGGAAAGGCACCAAAATAAGAAAATATCGTGAAACAAAACTTTCAGAGTAACTCGGAGCAGGTGTAAGTACCTGAAGATGCTCTTACCTTTTTTTAAACTGACTAGATTTCAACAAATTGGTAGTGGCCTTTTTAACCATATCCTACTATCCTTCAAACTCTGAGCATAAGATACAGGCGTGGGATTGCGGGAGCAGTTTTTTACTGCTATGTGAAAGGAATTGTTAAACACCTCTAAATTGAAATACATATTGACCGGTTTTAATTCCATTTTATTATAGATGTTCAACCTGTTGCTTATGAAGAGCCCAAGCACTGGTGTTCAATTGTGTACTATGAATTAAACAATCGCGTTGGAGAAGCTTTTCACGCATCTTCCACCAGTGTCTTAGTGGATGGATTTACAGATCCTTCTAACAATAAAAACAGGTTCTGCTTAGGTTTGCTGTCCAATGTTAATCGCAACTCAACTATTGAGAACACTAGGCGACATATTGGAAAAGGTAATTCATAAGTGTACGTTATGTCTCCTTTTTGATTGCTTGTCAACCTATTGCTATTAAAGACTTCATTGAAAACAGGCATATTGTAATGTGCAAAAATTGAAATTATATGTGGTGGTTGCAGTGGTAAATAATAAGCCTGGAGAAAAGGTTTGTTTAAACAAATTGTATATATGTGATACACATTGAAGAATTCTGGTCACAGAATCCATCCAATTAACTTAAATGATGTACAATATAAAAATTGCCTGCTTCTAGAGTAGGTAGAATACTGTTGGCAAACAAGCCTGCCGTGACTGTACTGTGTTCAGTGCCAGCACTTCAACAAAATTGTAGGTCCTGGGAGTATCTGTCAAGTTCCATATATACAACTACCATTTTAGGTATGTTCCTCAGAAGAAGTTCTTGCTGCTGCTTAATAATATTTCAGAGTTTTTTGTTCTCAGTTCATACAGGATATTTGAGTGCTGTCTAGTATGTTTAAATATCGTACGTTGAAAGCAAAACTAAAATAAGGCTTTAAGGATCTGTTTTGTTGGAGTGACTCCAAGATGAGTGAGGGGTGGGGGTTGTCCTGGGTTTGACAGGTCTCACAGGATCTTGCAGTTTTCCCCTGGGTCTGCCATGCTTTTCAGCTGATAGCACTATATGAACACACAATTTTCACACAGATGAAGCCTGCTCATTCTCTTAAAGTATTTTAGTGAATTTTTAAAATGTCCCTTCATATGCCTTTCCTTATTCATGTCTTGAGAAGAGAACCGTTTTCTTACTGCTCTGCTTTATAAAGATCATTTTAGTACTTAAAATTGTTCTCAAAATTGCATTACCGTTGGTCAAACTGAAACAGTTGCCTAGTGCCTTAGAAAGCCAAAGGTACTGTAACAAGGTACTTTTGTGCTACTTCTGATGTGGACTACTAGAACCATCAATAGATTAGAAATGGAGACAATATTACAGAGCTGTGCTCATGAATATTAGTCCTGAGGGCGTTCTGTGCCAAAACATTTTAAAATTCTGCAGGTTTTATTTGTCAGATAAATGTGGCGGCTCCCGCACGCCATTGGGGAGCACAGGCCACTGAATGCACAGAAGTGGGACTCTGAAGGGGGGGTCCAGATGAAGGTGGTTGGGGGCCTGGGTGGGTGCAGAATTCCCCCAGGAGTACTAGGTAGATAGGCTTGCATAAGTTAAAACTTAAAGTTAAAATCTGTAATCTTAATAATGGAATTTTAACTCTATAAGTGCAGAGTCACTGTTCCTGGGACAGTTGAATTTTCTAGGATGATTTCTGTTAACTTCACAAGGGAATACAGTTACATTATCTACTTATGACATTTATTCTGAATGTCTCCCCTTTCTATATACAACACAGCCACCAAAAATACCAAACTTCTCTCATTTTTGTAAAAGCACTGCACCCCAGCCATGGGTCACTTTTGAAATTTCAGAATTAACTTTTAAGCTTCTTATTTCTTCATCTTGAGTTTTATTTTCCCCAGGAGAAGCAGACATTTCTGTCGCAGCCTGCTATGTACCTCTGTTCTCCAACTCAACACAGCCTACCTCTCCAATTCGACGACTCAGAGATCCCCAATCAATACCTTACCATGGGAAGGTCAACTGACTAGTGGGGCAGGAAAGAAGCAGAATAGAACAGAATTACATGGGAGAGAGGCCTGACCCCAAATCCACTGTGAGCCACTTGCAGTTTATCAGCTGACGAAGCAATCTGCTTCTAAGTTACTTTCCCCAAACTTTATCCCACCCCAGACTCTCAGTGGACCTGATGAGTTCACCAATAGCTGTCAGTCTGAAAGATTAGTTCAGGTCTTCCTTTATTATATGCAGTGTTCTAGCTGTGACCATCTCAGGATACTAGAGAGACCAGATGGGTGAGGTAGTATCTTTTATTGGACCAACTTCTGTTGGTGAGAGAGACAAACTTTTGTCCCAGTCATCGGGAAGAAAGGAAGGGGGAGAGGGAAATCAGCTGCGGGGAGGGGTTGTTAGAGGGTTATAGATTGTTGTAAGCCATAAATCCAGTGTGTTTCTTCAGTCTGATTTTTAGTGTCTAGCAAAGTTATTAATTTAAGCTCCCAGGCTCATCTTTTTGAAAGTTTGCAGGTTTCCTTTTGAGGATGAGGACTAATAGGTCAGATACAAAATGATTGCTTTGTGAAAAATATTCACCCACAGGTGGTATGGTGTTTCTGTCTTTTATCATTTTCCTATGTGAGTTCATTCTAGAGTGTAGTGATTGTTTATCTGGTTTCACTCACACAGTTGCTATTGGGGCATTTAGTACACTGAGGTACACCGCATATTGTGATAGGCATGTATAGGACCCTTGGATCTTGAAAGGTGTGTGGTGGCAGGGGCGGGGGTGATGATAGTCGTAGCAATGAAGATACATCTGTAGGTTATGCATCTGTTGTTCTGGGAGGGTCTAGTGCTGCTTTGAGCTGGACACTAGGCATTCTGTCCTATAATTGGTGAGAGAAGGCCATCTAGTGGCTGATATAAAATGAAGTCGTCTGAGGTGGAAAAAGTGTGTTGAACTGCTTATGTGTATATGACTAGAAAAATATCTTTTCAGGGAAGTTCTTCAAATGGAAGTCTGACTAAATTGTCTCAGAGCTCAAGGAAGTTATTTACAGTAATACAACTTGATTATAATCTGTTTTTTTTCCTTTTGATTTAAGGAGTTCATCTCTACTATGTTGGTGGGGAAGTCTATGCTGAGTGCTTAAGTGACAGCAGCATATTTGTACAGAGCAGGAACTGCAACTACCATCATGGATTTCACCCTACAACTGTGTGCAAGATTCCCAGTGGCTGCAGCCTTAAAATTTTTAACAATCAGGAGTTTGCTCAGCTTTTAGCTCAGTCTGTCAACCATGGATTTGAGGCAGTGTATGAGCTTACCAAAATGTGCACCATTCGAATGAGTTTTGTAAAGGTAAATAAATTCTTTATCTAAGCATTTAAATTTACTGTGGAATGAGAGAGGTTCAAGCAAAATATTCAGATTCGCACTGATACTATACTGCAGAAAGTTTTTGCAATGTAACATGATTTTTACATTTTAATCTGACACCTTGTGTTGGAGTATCATTACTGTTACATGTGTGATACTTGCCAGGTGAGTTTGTTGGCCATAGTAGTTTAGTAGGTCCCCTGCTCCATCTGGTCCAGTTAAATGCTTCCTTTCTCAGATCCAAAGCATGCTATAAGCCTTCACAAAAAGAAAAGGAGTACTTGTGGCACCTTAGAGACTAACCAATTTATTTGAGCATAAGCTTTCGTGAGCTACAGCTCTATGCTCAAATAAATTGGTTAGTCTCTAAGGTGCCACAAGTACTCCTTTTCTTTTTGCGAATACAGCCTAACACGGCTGTTACTCTGAAACCTGCTGTAAGTCTTGTAAACTTCCATTTCTAAAGGAGACTTGCATTGTGCACTCACTTTTCAATTTGAATGATGGGGTAAGAATAAAGTGACCTGCTGGACAACTAATGTGGCTGTGATCCATATGGTAAAACTGAAGGAATACATATATAACAGTTTGACTCCTCCTTGTGCCTTCCTCAATTCCTGCTCCCCAAAAAAGTTTGAGTTCTTAGACAAATGAATTTCATCAACCTTTTGAGCCTTCAGTATACCTTTTTGTAGAATGAAGGCAGACTTTTATTTTTTAAATTTATGCAGCCAAATTGTATTCAGTGCCTTTTAAAATAAATTAAAAAAAATCTGCAATATCTGTAGTTCTCAAAAAACCTGGTTTTCTATTAGTAAATGGTCTGACTGCTACTGTAGTAAGAGGTGAATTGTGCCACTAAGCTCTTCTGTATCTGATCTTTAAAAGGATGTTCAATATTGGGTATTCAAGGTTGAACAACACAATTGTTCTTGCTTATTTGGGGGCCTCTAATAGCTTTAAATGTCCTACAGCCTAACTTTGCATTTCCTGTTGCTAAAATTAGTTTGGATTAAGAGTATACACTCATAACGTCAAAGGTATAACATTTGTTCATTTTTATAGGGTTGGGGAGCAGAATATCATCGTCAAGATGTCACAAGCACCCCATGCTGGATAGAAATTCATCTTCACGGGCCCCTTCAGTGGCTGGATAAAGTACTTACACAAATGGGCTCACCACTTAATCCCATCTCTTCAGTTTCATAGTGCTGCAGTATTACCTTCAACTCTACCTTTAGTGAACTTATTTTAATTCTAGAGAAACTTCCAGTGTGGATACTGTGAGCTAGATGGAGAACAGATATGGTTTAACTTTTTACCCCCTTTGTGACCAATTGCATTACATATTGTTGATTTATTTTTACATTTGTTTGTTCTTGTGATACTAAAGTGACAATTGAGCCCTATTGGGGGAGAGGGAAGTGCGACAAAGTTTCTTGAAAAAATCGCAACACTTTTCCCCCTCTTCAAATGAAACTTAAACAGGTATATGTCTAACTGGAACATATTTTCTTCACTGTCACACAGGGACAAGAATTTTGAAGACAGATTTTAGGAGTAAATACAGATCATAGATTTTTAGTGTTAATAGAACTGTACATTCTGTTTGCTGAACATGTGCAGCTCCAGATTTCAGTCAGTATTTTATATGTAGCTGTGTAACATCTTACCGAAGACTTCTGTCATAAACAAAGTTAGCCTTTATTACAGCTAAGTTTGCCTCAATTTGAACAATGTGAGTTAAGTGTACACCTCTTGAAATACTTTTTTTTTTAAATGGATATGGATGGTGTAAAAACACTTGCATTAACTTTTGGAAAATGCAGTCATAAACACACTATATACATTGAAGAACATAAATTATTAGCCTTGTCCCATTCCAATTTTATAACATTGCTTTTAACCACCATTTAACGAGTAATTGATACAAGGTAAACTCTTTCGCACTGCTGCGGACTAGTCAGTTCTTGTTTTGCCTTGATATGCACCCATGCTGTTTTGGATGTAATTGCCAACACCTAGCTTTTTAGGTACCCTTTTGTATTTTAGTATACACACCACTTTTTATAAATGGTAGTACTTACATTGCAAAGGAGCTAAGTTCTCTAGCTGTCTGTTTTACCTATTCAGAATTGGCATGTTTTAGGTCTCGTAAATCACTTAGCAGTTGTTTTGCAATATTAGTAATGACCCTGTACTTCACTTCCAATACAGATTTGATTAATCTCTCTTTCTCATACTGTTTTGAAGACTGAATGGCTTAGCAAATGGTAATTGAGTGCAGAGTGTTTTATTTCTAGATCAAATGCAGATGTGGTAGATAATTATCAAAAATCATGACTGTAAAGACTTATGTCCTGTGTGAAATGGTGGTCTTCATCCCAATCCTGATGAATGAGTTTCCCCTCACATAGTCTAGGCCTACAGTTGGCATTCTTAGCAGAGAAGCTAACGATTGCATGTAGATGGAGATTAAAGGTTTCAGAGGAGCAGCTGTGTTAGTCTGTATCCGCAAAAAGAACAGGAGCACTTGTGGCACCTTAGAGACTAACAAATTTATTAGAGCATAAGCTTTCGTGGTCTACCGCCCACTTCATCAGATGCATAGAATGGAACATATAGTTAGAAGATATATATACACACACACATACAGAGATGGTGGAAGTTGCCATACGAACTGTATTTGGCTAATTAATTAAGATGAGCTATTATCAGCAGGAGGGGGAAAAAAACAACTTTTGTAGTATGATCAAGATAGCCCATTTAGACAGTTGACAAGAAGGTGTGAGGATACTTAACTTAAGGAAATAGATTCAATATGTGTAATGACCCAGCCACTCCCAGTCTCTATTCAAACCCAAGTTAATGGTATCTAGTTTGCATATTAATTCAAGCTCAGCAGTTTCTCCTTGGAGTCTGTTTTTGAAGCTTTTCTGTTGCAAAGTTGTCACCCTTAAATCTTTTACTGAGTGGCCAGGGAGGCCAGAGAGGCTGTTCTTTTTGATGGAGATTAAATTGCCCTTTCAACCACATAGGAAATCCTTCAGGGTCAGGGTTGAAGTACGCTGGTGTAAGACTGTGAAAAGGCTTGTACTGCAGCTGCCTGCTGTATTTGTTGTGTCACTAATTGGAGGACTTTTGATGCCCAGGCTGTCAATACAAACACTAAATAAAAAAGGGGGAATCTATGGGTAATGTCTTTTCCTAAGAAAATGCGCCAAAGAAATGTATTGTGGAGAATACTAGGTGAAGTGAATTATGGCCAGACTCTTTTTTAATTCTAAAGTTTTTATGTGCAGAGTGCAGGGCCTTTTGTATATAATAACTATTCCCCTTTCCCTATCGCAAACACACGTTATTTACCCACCCAGATAAAATGTTTGGGAGGTAGGCTGAAAACTCTAAAACTCAAATATAAGAAGGGTAGCCATGTTAGTCCACATCTGTAAAAGCGGCAAAGAGTCCTGTGGCACCTTATAGACTAACAGACATATTGGAGCATAAGCTTTTGTGGGTAAATACCCACTTCATCGGATACATGTAGTGGAGATTTCCAGAGGCAGATATAAATATGCAAGCAAGAATTGGGCCAGGGATAAGGAGGTTAGTTCAATCAGGGAAGATGAGGCCCTCTTCCAGCAGTTGAGGTGTGAACACCAAGGAAGGAGAAACTGCTTTTGTAGTTGGCTAGCCATTCATAGTCTTTGTTTAATCCTGAGCTGATGGTGTCAAATTTGCAAATGAACTGAAGCTCAGCAGTTTCTCTTTGAAGTCTGGTCCTAAAACTCAAGTACTTATTAAAGGATGCTTTGTAGTTAGCTACTGGAGCCCAAGGGTATTGATCACTTAAGTTCTTCTTGTGTCCTTTTATTGAATGACAAAGTTTGTGCTTAAATGTGGTAATCCCTGTATCACATAGTACATAAGTAAATCTTTTTAAAGGAACAAAATTGTTTACATATCATGATAAATTCTGTTTCTTATGAAATGCCTTAAAGGAATAAAGCTAAACTGATAACGTTCACAGATCTATAATGCTGTCTTGTACAGGAATAAGTATTTGTACTTGATCTTAAACACTTTCTCCAGCATTTTAAAAATAAAACATTTTCATGAAAAAGAGGAGTAACATTACTTTGTCATTTATCTTCTGGACCACTATGTATTCCTTTGAACTGTAGCCAACAATGGTTTTATTGAAAGAGCAACAAATTCAGCTGTTACCCACAAGATCAGGCCTTCCAGAGTCAAAATGAACATTTTCCTACACCCATATTTGAGTTTTCTTCGTAAGTTTGTAACTCTGCATATATTTAACACTGTGGTATCTTTTCTAGAATAATTTTTATGATTAATGGCATGACGCATCAGGTTAAAAGAGTAAAATCTCAGTTGCAGTGCCTCTAAAAGATTTCACTGCATCCAAGCTTGACCTTTTTTTTTTTTTTTTATTGGCTTCATCTACGCTTGTGTATGTGCCTAGCTGAAACTAAGTAAATGATTCAGGAATGGCTGCATGGGTGTGCACAAGACAGAACTAGTGCTTAATGTGGCCAGACTGGCTATATGTGCATCAGTACTATAATCTTAGCAATACAGTAGAACCTCAGAGTTACGAACATCAGACTTACGAAGTGACCAGTCAACCAGACACCTCATTTGGAACCGGAAATATGCAATCAGGCAGCGGCAGAGATGCACCAGAAAAAAACAGAGCAAATACAGAATAGTACATTGTGTAAAATACAGGTTCAACCTTTCTAGTCCAGCACCTTCAGGACCTGACCAGTGCCGAACCAGAGAATTCGCCGAATCACAGGAAGTCAATGCAGAGTGCCAGCGGGTCTCCATAGGTGAATGAAGCAGCGGTCCAGGGAGTGCTGCAGCACCTCCAGGCTTTGTGCCCACTGTGGCCCCCCACCTGGGGGCCCCACTGCCACCTGGGGTCCTGGCTACCAGCCCCCCACCTGGGGGCTCTGAAGCCAGCCCCTCACCCAGGGTCCCTGCTGCTGGCCCCAGGTCTTCCCTCCTCCCTCCCAGAGTTTTAATGTCGCAAATCAGCTGTTCGTGGTGCTCTGGAAGCCCTGGCAGGGAGGAAGAGTTGGTAAGCACAGGGCTGCCTGTGTATGAGGAGTGGGGGGGCAGCTTGGTGCTGGTGGATGCTCCGCATTCACTAATTTTCCCCCTGGGTGCTCTAGCCCTGGAGCACCCACTTAGCACCTATGCTGGACCACACATGTTTCCAGACCAGGGAGTGCCGGATTAGAGAAGTTCAACCTGTACTAAAAAGGAAAGCAGCATTTTTCTTCATAGTAAAGTTTCAAAGCTACATTAAGTCAATGTTCAGTTGTAAAGTTTTGAAAGAACAACCATAATGTTTTGTTCAGAGTTACGAACATTTCAGAGTTTGGAACAGCCTCCATTCCTGAAGTGTTCATATCCTATTGCTTTGCTCCTACATTTTCTTCTGCAGAGGCAGGCTTGCGAAGTGCTGCGCTTGCAGTTTAAGTGGTGCTTATCATAAATACTAGGACTCTGTAAAAGCTTTCTAGTTTTGTGTGGTGCAGAGTCATGATATATTTAGTTCTGTTCAGTTTTATTTGTGTCGGAGTATCACCGTTCACACATCTATGCAAGGATAGGCTGGCTGAGAACTGCTTGACACTAAATGTTTAAATTCTGTGATGGCAAAGATGGAAGCACTGATCACCGTATACCTGTGAGTGCAGTTGCTGTTTAATTACATTGCTAACAGGTACAGAGAAACTGGATGGGTCGGGGTCTTGGAAATAGGAGATCAAACCTAGCCCTGCTCAGACTCTGTTACCATTTTATGAAAGCAATTTTGCCCTATGTAAAATAAAGTGAAACTTCAATCTTTGTTTGGTGGGCATGATTCTGTATCTCACTAGCCACCAGCAATTAATTGTTAGCCTTGTTGGTAACACCAGCAGAGAGCCTAAAGATAGAACACCTATATGCATATAGATTATAGGCATATGCTGAACTACCATTTTGGCTGGCTCATAAAGCTGCCGGGGCATGACAGAGTGAAGTGAAAGTTTGGACAGAGGACTTTAGCCTTACAAGCTGTCAATCCAGAACTTTTCATGAGTATTAAATTCATTTAATTGTACATGAAGGGGCAACATTGGGTTACGAGATATCCTGTAGAACCAATATGTAACTTTTTGGTATGACTGAACAGATAAAAATGGCTGGTTAGTCAAAATAATTGAGCAGCTTACATGTTGCGATTGGTATAGGATTTCTAAAAGGAAACCTTGGAATTCTTGATGTTTTGCCTGAAGCTATTGGGGTTTTTTTTCCACAGTATTACAATGTAAAAGTTGTACAGTATACCTGTTGGGCAAATACTCTTGTAGTCTAGGGCTGGCAAACCCATGTGTAAATGTGTCAAGATTTTCCTAGCTTGAAATACTCTGAAAACTAATGTTTTAGTTTCCCAAACAGTGATTAGGTAGCAGTTTTCAATAAGTACAAGCCATTTTACATTTTTTTTTGCCTCAAAGAAAAGTTAGTAGTTTGTGTGTGTTTGTTTGTTTATTTATTTATTTTGTAGTCATGAAGTTTTTCCTTACGGAGGAAACCCATTTTGAATTCAAATTGATAGACTAAACTATTGTGTTACATTGTAACTGTGCTTTCTTATGCTGTTCCAGAAATCTACTTTTATGTTTATTGCTAGCATAACCTTTATGCTTCTGTTTACACGGTAGGAAACATGGTTTTTTCATTTTACATGGTAGGAAACATGGTTTTTTTCATTTAACTCTGTTATCTTCATTTTATTAACTTTATCTTTAAAATGATTAGGTTTTGTTATGTTTTTAAAAATATTTTTTTGCATACTGCTGCCCATATTTGAATAAACATGAAAAATTCCCATTCAGAAAGGCTTTTTTTTCCCTGTTTTGCTCTAAATATAATTCAGCGGATGCCTCCCAGTACTTATAAATGTATGTCTATATAGGTATGTTTTAAAAAGTATAATTTGAAAGTCCTACAGGATATAATGACCCATAAACTCTTAATTATTCTTGTAATTGTCACTATTGGTGTGTTTAGTTATCTAGGTATTGCTCCTTATTGAAGTGAGAACAGGGAATTTCATTCCATAGGCAGTTTGCCTGGAACACTTGAGGCTATAATGTAGGGTTGGTTTGTATTTTTGTTTGTATTTTTTTTAAAGATTTTAATTAAAAACTTAATGTATTTGAGAATTCTTTTGTCAGCTGGATTGTGAGGTCAGTTTATTAAAACATATTAAGGTACATCACAATCACAATAACAATATTGGCTTATATGTACAATGTATTTTTGTATATCACCCACCATACTGTGGACAACGAATACCAGCAATTTGACAACAGTTGTTTGCCATCCATAAAATCTTAGCTGTACCACCTATTTAATGAGATTCTGGCAAGTAATTTTTTGAACATACGCATGGCTAGCATAACAGTCTTAAACAACCCAGCATCCTGCCTAAGCCCTGTAGAACTTGAAAGTAGTGACTGACAGCTTCCTAATGCGAAGAAGAAAACTGAGAATATTCCTTTTGAAACGGTTTCCTTAAATATTTCAATAAAACTTAATGTCAGTGTTTTTAGGATCAGAGCAACTGCCTTCATTATAGTTTGACCTGTTTTTACAAACTTTTTAAAGCAGGGGAGAAGTTAACATTCTTGTTCTAACTTCCACATTATCTTGGTAATTAGAGCAAAGAGTAATTAGAGTTTAGGGTTTTAGGGTAACACTTGGAGTGGTGAGGGGAGGACAAGTTACGGGAAAAGTTAAAGCTTTTGTAGAATATACCCAAAGATACCTGCAACATAACATTTTTTTGCTGTGTTAATTTGGTTGTGGACGGGAGAGTTGGATTGCAAAGATCCTGAATGCTTCCTGTGAGCTCTATTCAGCAAATACAGAGGGGTGGAGGAGGTTGGGATAACTTTAATAAAGTCAAAGAAACAAGTTTTCAAATGTTTGATTTTTTGAAAACATGCCAGTTTAATAATTTTATTAAGATAGTTGAAATAAAAAGGAAACGGTACAGAGTTCAAGCATAGAAGTTTCTGGTTATCAGGGAATGAGGTACAGATTATCAAGGGGTGCGAAATTCAGTTAGGAGCTGGTGGTGTAAGGAATACATAATCTGCAATCTCCCTGATTGGGGGTGTCATAAATATAAAGGGAAGGGTAAACCCCTTTGAAATCCCTCCTGGCCAGGGGAAAGCTCCTCTCACCTGTAAAGGGTTAAGAAGCTAAAGGTAACCTCGCTGGCACCTGACCAAAATGACCAATGAGGAGACAAGATACTTTCAAAAGCTGGGAGGAGGGAGAGGGACAAAGGGTCTGTCTGTGTGCTGCTCTTGCCAGAGACAGAACAGGAATGGAGTCTTAGAACTTTTAGTAAGTAATCTAGCTAGGTATGTGTTAGATTATGATTTCTTTAAATGGCTGAGAAAAGAATTGTGCTGAATAGAATAACTATTTCTGTCTGTGTATCTTTTTTGTAACTTAAGGTTTTGCCTAGAGGGGTTCTCTATGTTTTTGAATCTAATTACCCTGTAAGATATCTACCATCCTGATTTTACAGGGGGGATTTCTTTATTTCTATTTACTGCTATTTTTATTAAAAGTCTTCTTGTAAAACACTGAATGCTTTTTCATTGTTCTCAGATCCAAGGGTTTGGGTCTGTGGTCACCTATGCAAATTGGTGAGGCTTTTTATCCAACATTTCCCAGGAAAGGGGGGGTGCAAGTGTTGGGAGGATTGTTCATTGTTCTTCAGATCCAAGGGTCTGGGTCTGTAGTCACCTAGGCAAATTGGTGAGGCTTTTACCAAACCTTGTCCAGGAAGTGGGGTGCAAGGTTTTGGGAAGTATTTTGGGGGGAAAGACGCGTCCAAACAGCTCTTCCCCAGTAACCAGTATTAGTTTGGTGGTGGTAGCGGCCATTCCAAGGATAACGGGTGTAATATTTTGTACCTTGGGGAAGTTTTGACCTAAGCTGGTAAAGATAAGCTTAGGAGGTTTTTCATGCAGGTCCCCGCATCTGTACCCTAGAGTTCAGAGTGGGGGAGGAACCTTGACAGG